GTCGGGGTTCTACATGTGCTAACCGAACCATGATAGGAGCATGATCGAAGCACGAGGACGCCAGGTGCACAACTTGCGCAAACGGGAATATTTCCTTGAAGGCTTCATCCGCACACGCTCTATCAAGCCGAACCCGAACATTCCTATCACCATGCTGTCCGTTATCATATGTGAACGGAGTGCCCGAGAAGCCCAAGTCCATAAGCTCGCAGTCCTCCAAGCAGACTCGGAATAGGAGCATTTGGTTCTCGGACCGAGGCGACCGGGAAAAGTGTTCATGCTGCCACATTGCTTCATTAAAATCACCACATACTAGCCACGACTCAGACGACACTGCCCGTAGGCCTGACAGTGCACTCCACATACGGTGTCGGTGTTCCACTCTTGGTTCACCATACACAAACGTTGTTCACCACGCTTTATCATTCGCGTTGTCAACAATTCTCACATCAATATACCACGTGCAGGAATCAAGCACGGTCACTTGCAGATTTTCATCCCAAAATAATGCAAGCCCCCCACTGAGGCCCGCACTAGAGACACCAACAAACCCTTTCATATTCAATCTTCTTTTAAGCTTTTCCATTTGACTAGAGGCTTGACGTGTTTCTGACAGGAAGATCAGCCCCGGGGAATTGGCTTTTGAGAGGGCCAAAACCTCACGAACTGTCCGGCGGTCCCCCTCGGCAGTTCCACATTAGGATACTCATTGTACCCGACGGTCCTCCTCGAAGGCGGCCGCCGATTTCTCATCTGAATAACCCTGGGAGTCTATCCTTGCCTTCTTACTGTTTGAACTATTACATGGTGACGAGGGGGCATCACCATCTTCACCTAGCCCTTGAGTTAGCGCTAGCGTAGCATTCGGTATGTTGGGCAACTCCAGCCCGGAGCTGTCCATGGCCAGCCTCTTACGAGCTGGGGGGTCGACCTGCATCACCCTAGTGCCACTTTTCGACGGGCTAGACGCAGTATCAGCCAAGTCCGGATCGATGACCTTCTTGGCGTCCTTTCCTTTGGTTGGGGAACGTTGCTTCTGACTTTGCTTGTCCTTGCTCCGATCGAACTCATCAGCTCTAGGCTTGTTCGGACCATCTGCGTACAGCCAGCTCCCAAATTTCATATCCTTTTCCTCATGGACCCCGGTACCACATTCTTTGCAATCATGCCCAATCAGACCACAAACACTGCAAAAGTGAGCAAGCTTTTCATACCGGACCAAGTAAACTTGCCTTGCTTCACCTCTGATAATACTAACGAATTTTGTGAGGGGTCGGCGGATGTCATGACGAACCCTAACCCTCACATAATCACCCCGAGTGTTGCCGTTTAACCTCATCTCCAAAATATCCCCAGACTTTTTCAGCAACGATTCCACAATATTCCTCCTGCAGAAACCCTCAGGAAGCTTATGGATCTGGAGCCATACTGGCATGAACAGCATGGGAACCTCTTCTGCCTTAGTGAATCCATCATACGGGCACATGAGTACCGCCCAATTCCTGAAAAGCCATGGACCAAGCTCTACCATCCGCTCCCAATCACCCAGGCACTCCGCCTGAACGACGAACAAATTTGGTCCAACAGGTCTGAACCTCACCTGCTTCGCCGGGTTCCAGGCTGCGCGCATCTCTCGGTAAAACGCCGTTGGACTGAAGGTTTTCTCCGTGTGAACCCTAGCGAGGGCCAACCAGCGAACCCCTTCATTGATTACAGGGTCGTCCTCCTCGATCACCAGATCATCAAATTCCTCATCCTCTAAGTTAAGTTGCTCCATGAAATCACCCAGATCTGACTTGCTTGCGGCGGCACTTCCGCCGCCACTTGTCCCAGACATGGCGTCCGCCATCAGACCCGTCACCGGAAGCCGAGCCGAGGGGCGCGCTCCGATATGGCACGAACCGTAGGCTTCGATCTCTCGCTGCCCAGCCGCGGAAGGGTTTACGTCGGGTAGGGAACTCTCAGACGATGGGATCGCCAGAGAGGAAAGAAACCCTAGCCTTGGCGTAGGGGAAAAAACTGTTTTTTTTAGCGAGTCTGATTTAGAGGACGGCGTTGGACATGCCGTTGGGTGTCTACTAGTCCAGACACTACTGGGAGGCCGTTGGCCGGCTTTGGTACACCCAGTAGCCGTCATTAATCGGAGATTATTGGGGTACGGGCCCCTTGAAGTTCGAAAGACTGTCAAGTTTCAGTCGGTGAAGAAGATGACCGGGCTACTATATTGAAGTTTGAACCAGTGACTAGACCACTGGATTCGCACTGCTGTACATTCCGACAGTTGTATACATACATACTTCATACTTGGGTAAGAAGCGAAACACAGTCACTGTCCCTGACTTCAATAACAACAATCCAAGGCCAAGCATTCAGTTATCAGATTAGCTCAGCTGCATGATGAAACATTTTAAGGACACTTGTAACTTGCAAGAATACACGCAGGAGTCGACCATAAGCCTCCCCCTAGCCCTCTACTACCTCAACCAACGACCACGATCAGTTTTAGCGTACGACCGTGTGAAAACCACAAAGTGGAGGAGTGCAGATCAATCATGTTCTCCAGCCATCCGGCCTCTCATGGTCTGCATCGATCCACGGTCACTTATACAAGTGTCTTCTTACCACACTGCAATACTGCATATGAACGCAAGCTCCTCAGATACTAGATACATAGTTTCTAGCGTGTATCCTTGAGGTGCGATGGCTTACCCATATTGCTGAAAGACAATGAAAAGGGGTAGCAAATAACATCCATGACCGTTGAGTGATCATATATATACCTGGTCCACCAATAACGCAGCCTTGTTGCTAATGTCACAGCCGATACTCTTTCAGATTCTTGGAGCACACTGATAATGTTCGTTATTGGCGGCCTCTTGGCGCGGTCAGGATTCACGCATAATAAACCTACCTGGAGGCATTTCTTTATTTGCTTGCAACATGTTTCTAGGGATCCATACCCCCGTGATCTCTGCAACACATTTCTCCATTTCTCAACCGTCTGTAGAATCAGAACAAACATGTGCAACTTTAGTGTGTAGAAGATCTAATGTGTTACCGTGTCTGAAAGAAAGACCTCCATCTTGAAACGTCAGGAAATTTTCCTTACAAGCTCGATAAAGTCATCTGAAGGTGTTCTAGTAACGTCGGGGTAGTCCCTATGTCCTGTTATGACCTCCAAGATCAGTACACCCAAACTGAATATATCTGATTTTGGTGTCATTGTACCTCCGTGCAAAAATTCCGGTGCCATGTAACCACTGAATCACAACACATATACAATTTTGCAGTATTAAAGAGTCTAATGAAAATACAAACTTCTCATGACAAAAATGCACGGTATTAACAAGTGGCGTCAACTTACAATGTCCCATCACGAGATGAGGTGCAAATAGTTTGTTGACCAAACAGTCTTGACAGACCAAAGTCTGTGATTTTCGGCACCATACCATCATCGAGCAATATGTTTGAAGGTTTTAGGTCCAGGTGAATAATAGGCTTATCAATTTCTGTATGAAGATGGTGTAAACCATAGCAGATCCCCTCGATTATTTTATAGCGTGTGCTCCAATTAAGTCCAGAAGTTTCATCTACATTGGTAATTAGTAGAAGAGCATTCTCACAGATGTCACATGAAAAATCTTTGTAGTTGTTTTCTAGATAATATAATCAAGCATGATGTCTATAAAATTTTACAGCGTGTTCTCAGTTGTCCATTATTGATTGATATCAGCATCAAATGTCTATCCGTTTTGACACTTAATTAGTATATGTGGATAAAATAAGTTTTGCAGAGCAAAGCTCAAACCTCACAAACTAGAATCTCAAACCGAGAAACAACATTTTGACACTTAATTAGTATATGTGGATAAAATAAATTTTGCAGAGCAAAGCTCAAACCTCACAAACTAGAATCTCAAACCGAGAAACAACATTCCATATTGAATGACTTATCCGATATATACTTATCAAGGCTTCCGTTGGGCATATACTCCAAGCAAATTAACTTTTCCACCATCTCAGCAAAAACATATTTCCCCTTGTACTCTAAACACTCATTTTTTGTTTCGTAGCAGTAGCCTACAAATCGCACTATATTGCGGTGCTTAAGCATCATAAGATGATAGACCTCATTTTCAAATTGTTTCTGGCTTGACATTAAGAAAGACACGATCTTCTTGACAGCAATTGCTTCCCCATTTCGTTGCACCCCCTGTTTAAAAGTCTCACCCTATTAATACCTAGTATATGGGTTTGTGGATTAGCTTCATAATGTAGCAAAAAAAAAAAACAGTCAACAACGACATGCTATAATCTTACATTCTTACTACCTTGTATACCACACCGTAACCACCTTGACCAAGGATTCGCTCATCAGAGAAGTTGTTTGTGATTTCTTTCAAATATTGTAATGGTATATCATGCGGTGTTGGACTCTGATCCTCCAACAACAGTGGTGCTGAGAAGGAGCATATCACATTATCCATCAGCTGATGTGGAGGAGGTTCCAAAGCTTTGACAGAGGAATCACTGGTTGCGAGGTATAATTTCAAACCCAACTTCCCACTGACACACCGGATAAGTGAATGCTTCTGCAGCGAGCGCATCTCCAACTTGTAATATTGTGATATTACAATATCAGAGAGGTCCGCGATTGTGGAACAAGCAATTTGGACCCTGCCAAAGAAGGAGGAGGATCCGTCACCACCTTCTGTGGATTTTTCGACGTGGTAGACATATGCTTCAAGACTAAGCTCGTCAAGAGTTGATGGATCAGACACGTCGAAGTAAAAACGCTCATTCCACACCAGGTTTAGATCATTCTCCCTGACGGCCGTGGAGAGCCGATGTCCATCAAAGCGAAGTTGGACACAGGCGCTCAAGGGACCTTGGCTATCCTTAGGCATCACGCCATGAGCACCCACAACTTCCACGCCAAGCTTATATCTTGGCATTGTGTTTGGCAGTTATGTTGCAGTCTACTAGACCGTAATGCTGCAAAAGAGAAAAAACATAGTTACTTAGCATCATTGCCTACAAGCGGGAAGGAGTCCATGACGTGAAGTGGCTCCAAAAGTTTGTAACTGAATCTCGAAAACCATTCGACCTAAATGAGCCGTGAAAGGTGAGATTATATCATAATGCATTAGCATCCTGAATATAAAAGCTGGGCATGACTTAAGTTAGGGCATTTTCGATTCACAAGATTTCTAAGACACAAATGAGAAAAGCACAGGAATACAATGTCATGACATGTTGAATACTACATGATTGTAAGAAAGTTCGTTTGTGACGGAAAGTATATTATTCTTCACATACGGCTGGAGTAAAAATATATATGAAAGAAGTATAAATTGTTAGAATTAATGGCCTTGAATAAATGGCAAGAGGTGCTGCAAATCATTTAGTCCCATGCCGCTAGTTATTTTTGAGAAAAATTCCACTGGTGGAGGTGGTGTGAGACCACCTTATATAGTGGGTTCTCCCAACTACACTTAGTGATTGGTATGATGAGAGAATGATAACACCATATGTGTGCTAGCTTGGCCAGGGTGAAGGGCGCATACGTGTGACATGCGACATGTGCGTGAATGGTCTACCAAAATCCGGTCCATGGCTTTGCAGGTGCGTGACTTTCTTTTGATGTTTTATATTTTAGTTTCTTGACCATTTAGTTTTGGAAACCTAATCAGTTTGGATCATGAGACGAGATCGCGTGAGTTCTCCTACATATACAACTTATTGGTCACTGCCAAATACATGCAGAACAAGTTAGGGTTTTGCCTCTGCTCTCTACCTGTGTCGCCACTGTAGTCTACTCCATCCCGAATGCTGGCATACACCGATGAGCATGAGAGCAGGCCTCAAGATCCTCTCGTCCTTGTGATCATGCATTGGGGTAGGGCAGATTAGGTTTTTGGGAAGCACTCCACGCGACAACTCACATTCGTCAACACGAGTAGTTTTCCTTTCAAGTCTAGGGGCGTCGCGTACCGTTATCTCCGCTACGGTCTGTTTTGGCCGGTCTTCATAAACGTTGTCATCAACGACATCACCTCTGTAGTAGCCATGACTACTTCACCTACAAATGATTAGTACGTGCGTTGTGACATTATCCAATTTATAATTATGGTTGTTGCTGCATGTGCTGTGTTGCTGTTTGTGTTGCACTGTTCATTTAGTTTGCTAGAGATATGCATGCTAATAATGGTTTTACTCATGAATTATTTACAGGAGAGCAAATTAACATATGGAACGACTCTTGGGTTTCAGGAGTCCCAATAGTAAAATCATTACTGAAAGGGGAGGTACACTTCTCCCAAAGGTAAATGAGTTGATTGACCCTGCTTCGGGCAATCACGAGATTTGTCTAACTTCCCAACACAAATGAATCATATCATAGGAAAAGAAAATCAAGGATAGCAATCCTACAAATCAAACAACGTGGGAAAGTTTCTCAAGGCTAGATTTTTCCAAAACCCCTTTGGGAATCCTTTGAACCAAGGAGAGCCCTTGACCTTTTGATTGAACTGAGCACTGATGTTAAATCCCCTATTGGATGAGGCTAGAGCAGAAGGGGAGAGAGTAAAGGAGGCGGTATATGCGTACAATAGCTGTAGGTAAGGGCGGATTCAATTTTCTCTTGGAAAAACAAGGGACTGCCACCAGGGCCATACATGAAAAATTGGAGGCCCGGTGCAAAATCAAAAAATAGGCCCTGGGCGTAAAAAATGGCAAGTGTAGAAAACAGGGCTTTGTTATGTATATCATCCTTCTTTCTGTGTTTTCGAATTGATAATCTCATCGCCATGAACCTCAACAGCACAAGTATCTGCACTACAATTTTCAGAAGGAATATTCAATTCTTTTGCTAATAAGTTATCAAAAGCGCCTTTTCGAGGTCGAGTGAGTTTTTCAATCTCTTTCATTTTCTTACATTTTTCATACCCGACTCAAAATTCCTAATTCTAAAACTACAAGACATCTCAGAAAATAAAACTAAGAGGCAAATTTCAGGCACTAAAAACTGAACATAGAAACAACAAGGATTGAAACTACCTCTGATTCTATAAAAAAGAAATCCTTTGATAGATATGGGAAGAAGACCATGTGGCGGTACTGTATGTGGCATTGGTACTGATAGTCCAGTTGATCCTCTTGATGAACCAATGACCTAGCGCTGGTGGCCTCCCTCTGACTTTGATTGATGCACCCAGGACACGGGCCACCAGCAAGCAAAAAGGGGATTGAAATAATCAGATGAGAGAACAGAGAAAAAGGCACCGATTAAACATATGGATTGAGGGTGGAGCAGTTCATACTGATTGCGTCAGGGATTTGTTTTGGGGAAAATGTGAGTGCATTACTCCATTTGAGAAGATCGGGAGCTGAGATAAAATACTTGGACTATGGGAAGAGAAAGAGATGTTTGTGCTGCAAGAGAAAGAGGATTGAGAGAAGCGGAAGACGTGAATGAGATGGGGTCTTGGGAGTAAATTTCTTGCAGATTCCGAAGCAGCAGTATTTGCTAGATGCATTGATTAACCATAGTTAAAGTATTCATTAGTACTAGTAGAAATTTGGGGGCCCTGCCAAGTTGGGGGCCCTGTGCAGTTGAACACCCTGCACAGGTGTCCGGTACGGGCCTGACTGCCACTGCCCACTGGATATCTCTCCGGCGATTAAGCAGCAAATTAAACTCGTATTAGTTCTCCCCCACGCGACGCAAGCAGCAAAGGAATCCACAGCAAACTGGATGCATGGGAGGCAGTGAAACAAATACTGCAGTATGCTTGATTAGAGCAGCCAGCGAAACGACCAGTGTGAGAGAAAAACATTAATGGAAAAAGTTAGATTTGCTCACCGATGGCTCGATCGCAGGGCATGTATCCGATCCGGATAGGATGTGCCAGTCCGGTAGAGCAGATGGATCGAGGTCGGAGAAGACTAGAAGAGGAGGCTTGGAGCCTTGGACGGTGGTAGCGGATAGGGTTGGGTCGTTGTCACAGCCTAGTGGAAGAAGAACCAGGAAATTTGGAAGTGTCGACAGCACATAGCTAGCTGACCCCTTCCCTATCAATGCATACATACAGACACGACCACGTGGCCTATGTGTTGTAATAGTACTACCTCCGCCCTGATTCATTAGTCCCCTTAGTATTTTGTGCCAAATTTTAACCATGAATTTAATTAATTAAATGTTAATGCATGTCATAAAAAAACAATTTTATTATAAACTATGTTCAAATACGAATCCAACGGTATCACTATTTATGACTTGCATTAACATTTTGTCAGTTAAACTTATGGTCAAATTCCGACACAAAATACAAAGAGGACTAATAAATCTGGACGGAGGTTGTAATAACCTATCTCAAAAGACCAAATGGATACAGACACGGTATCTTGTTGTCAACGTTATTACTCCGTACAATATACTACAGATCTGTCTGGATATACGCCGGCCAAATCGCTAGCTACTTGCGTGCGAAGCCCAACCGACGCATCCTGATGCTGCCCTACTCCTCGGCCGGCCTCTGTATATACTAGTATAATGCCATGCGTTGCCACGGGCTTTTAAAATATTTTGCTAGAGTTATATATAAATATAATGCATATTAAATTTCACGTGTATAGAAAAGATGAAAAAAATAATTTGATGATTTATACATAAAGAACGATGATCCAACAAATAATCTGTTACGAATTAAGATCTACTTTATGCGCTTAGTTATTCTCATACAATATCAAAAATGTTGTCGTTTGCACAATATTTGAGCAAGTCTAATTAAAAAAAATCTCAACTCAGAACCAAATTGTTTTTCTTTCAGCTACGGGCCTTTTAATTTTTTTTCCTTCTGATTACGTACACTTAATACTTGGTGGATTTTTGGCCCCTTCAAACACATCGCCTTGGGGCCCTCGTCGCTGGATTCTTTTTGAACGTTAACATGATCCCCTTAGTTAAACTTCTTTTGTTTTATTGTGCTACACATCGACTTATGGTGACTTGCGTTGTACAAATTCACTACAACACATGGACACATATTTAAAAGACTTCTCCTAATTATCAAAGGTTCCAATAAGGAACATGGGCGGATAGTCAGCATATTGCAA